GAATCAGAAATCGATGATCCCGAAACAGTGCCACGCCTCTACCAAGGTGACATCGCTATTGATCCTTATACCTACATATCACTTAGGCTTGGCGTTAATCCAATGAAGCATCCAAAACGTTTGTGGCCAAACGCCACTATTCCCTTCGAAATCAGCCATTTGTATACCAACAATGAACGGATGGCCATAGAACGTGCCTTGAATACATTTAATGCTTTAACCTGTATTAATTTTAAACCCTTTGACGGCGAGGAAGAAGATTACGTACTAATTACACCGCCGGTGGATGACGCGCCCGCCGGTTGCTGGTCGTTTGTGGGTAAACGTGGTGGAGAGCAGGTAGTGTCATTACAACAACCGGATGATAAAAGCGCACATTGCTTCAACAGCGAAGGGCGGATTATGCACGAGCTTATGCATGCTATTGGAATTTATCACGAGCAATCTCGAGCTGATCGAGATAATTTTGTAAAAATACACTGGGAAAATATCGTACCGAAATATCGTAAAAATTTTAAATTGATTTCAAAAAAGAAAGGCAAACATGCTTTCGATTATGATTATAATTCTGTAATGCATTACGGCGAGTACTACTTTAGCAAAAAGAAGGGAGAGAAGCCCACTATGACACCGTTACAGCCGGGTGTACGCATAGGCCAGCGGAAGACCATTAGCAAAACGGATTGTCTAAAGATCAACGATTTGTATGGTTGCCTGAATGGCAGACATGCGAGGATGTATAAAAGTTTCTGCAATTTGTTGGGACTTTAAATTAATGTTTAATTATTCGTAAGGGTTTAAATCATATTGATTTACGATTGTACTAAATGCATACTAATGTACATATATTCAGCCTAAAAATACGCTTGTTTACATTAGTAATAAATGTACATACATGTGTATGTACTTACTTGCATTCGGGGTATCTTTATTTATACAAAACGAAATTTTACTGAGCACTCCAGCGTGGAAAATGATATTTTTTATGGCAAAATTTTAGGAATTCACACATTTCATGATAAGAGATATTGAAATACAAAAAAAAA